TGGCTCTCTCATTGTGCCGTCTTTACTTTCCACAGCTTACATGTCCTATTCTCTGCTTTTTCCCCCCCTTTTTGTGAACTGAGGCTTGCTCCTATATCAGACTGACCTATGATGTTTCTAGGACATACTAGCTGATTTTCGAATGTTTTTACTGTACTGCTTCCAGTGAAATGTTTACATCTTTTCGACTCCTTTCTTTACATTTGTTGTTTCTTTTGCCATAATACTTACCACAGGACTCCATAAGTGTTGACTATGTGCTATGCTATGCTCGTCAGTATATTCATGTTGTTTTCTTGTGTTTTCTGACGGCATCTGCGCATGCTTTCTGGGTTTACACTTTGATTGTAAATTGAGAGGAGAAATTATTTTTTACATACATTTTCAACAGCTGTTGCTGTTCTGATCTGTGTCTTACAGGTACTGCTTAGTACCTGTAAGTGAGTATTTGAATCTTACTCTTACTGCTACCATAATACTACTACAATAATCAGCCATTGACAGTGGCTGGTTTGGAGCTGTTATGAGAAAAGATAAACAACACAGTAATAAAACCGTTAGTAGTTATTTTGGCTAGAAAAAAGATGCCTATACAGATATAGCGGTAGCTTGTTTCCCCTAGTGAGCACTGCATCAAGATTCTCTTTGAGTAAATTCATTATATTAAATTTAGTCTGCTTAGGAAGCCATTATTTATTTCTTATTATTTTGTCCCTGGGGCAAAGCATTGTCTTGTGTAAAGCATCTTTTTTAAAAAAAAATAATTTTTACTTGATTTATTACGGATAAATTAGGCTTAATGAAATGCAGTCAGAAACCTCCATCTTCTAAGATAGTGTACTTCATTAAGCTAGATAGATAAGCTCATAAACCCAACAAATTTGGCACAAGGTTTTCCTTTCTGTTTGTTTCTTTAGCATTAAAAACCTCTACAGAAAGTTACCACTCATCATAACAAGTGCAATTTAGTCAGATAGCATCTTTCATCGGTTTGAGGGCCGTGAGTTTTGCATCCTTCTCAAGTTCTGTTTATTCATTCATAAGACAGAGCTCAGTCCCATGAAGCATTCTCTTGTAGGCCAGTGTTTCCAGGCAAATTCAGTGGGGTCTAAGCATCTTCCTGTCAGTCATGTGTTTGGAAAGCAACTTTTCTATCCACTGCAGTAGCATCAAACGGTCATTTTCACTTGTTTTAGGATTTCTGTTTTGTAATTGTGTATTTAGAGTTAATTTCTTATTTACAGTTTGCAATAACTATTAAACAAGAGGCAAGGTGGGACAGTTGGTGTAGCATATTACAATGGTAATGTGTTGTAGCTCTGTAGCATCTTTATTTAAGGCACTCACAAGCATTTTAATTAATTTAGCTCCACAGAACTTCTTGTAGGTGAACATTATTGTTCCTTGTTTACCTGTGAGCAGAGCTGTGAAGAGTGTTCAAATAAGTAAGTCCCAAAGACTCAGGGGTGATTTCCACAGTATGGGTGGATGATAGAACTTCCCTCCTGCAATCACTGGAAGTAGTGATCATTGTTACACTCGCAGTAGAAGGGAGCCCTAACATCTCATAGAAAGTAGCAACAGAATAAATGTACAGGCAGCCCTTCTAGATCAAAACCATTCTTTCTGCTAATAGAGTGAATCTTTATGAAGAGCAAATCTGCAAGGAAACATCTGTGTGGGAAAGAAATTGTTGGAATATTCAGTGTAATGGGCGTGAAATCTTGCAGGTTCTTCTTACCCCAATTAAAACTTGCAGCCAACCAGCTCGAGCTGTGAATGCAGTAGATAAGCAACTTGGCTGTTAAAACTATGTGGAGCCTCTTGTTAACAGGTAGTGATCTCTATTTATAGAAGCTTGATCTTCTTTGATGAGGAGTAAGAGCGTTCATACTTAACCACGGTCAAATTCTCTCTGCATAATTTACAGAGGCAATTTAAGGTAGTATGACCTGTCTGTTGGAGGTTATTAAACTTACACCTCTACTAATAAATCAGAGCAAAGTCACCTGGTGTAGCAGCCATGGCTAGCAGCAGTTCAGAGCAACAGGCTTCTCACTGAGGTGATCATGGTTTGTCCCACTCCCTGAGCTGTGGCTGTGGAAACAAGTCCCTGCAGCTGGGGTCAGACGGCAGCCTTGGGTGGGTGTTAAGCTATTGTACCTGACGGCCATCTTGCTATAAAATATTAAATCTGGTGTACATGGTTGACAGTATATTTTCTGCTCTAGGGATTAAACTTTTAAAGCAGGTGAACTGTGGCTACTTGACCATGTTCTCTGGTATAATGGACAGGGAAATGGCAAGGCTGTTGTAAATATACTGTCCTCCTTAGTAAACTCTATTTGCAACTGATTTCAGGATATATGCTATGTGTTGCTAAATAGCTTAAAATCACTTGCTTTGGCAAACAGTTTAGAGAAACTGAAATACAGTAAAGTGGATGGGAAGGCTGGTGCTGATAGAAGTAAGGTCAGCTCTTGCTGTGCAGGTAAAAAAAGTATCGATTTGTTGCAGTAACTTGTACTGGGAGTAAGTATTGCTTAACACCCAACTGGCAAATAAAGCTAATCTTTGATAAATATAGATAGAAGAAGTGAAAAAGAGCAAACTGGAAAATTATCTGATCTTTGATACATACAAACAGATAGGAGTAAAAAAGTGTTTGTGCATTATACCATTTACAAATTTTACCCAGTTAGTATAGCAAGATAATTATGCCATGAAATGTAGGTACCACTATGGCATGCTTGAGAAGAGCTAGCTGATATAGTTGAACCCTCAAGAATCAGTATCTGAATCCTCTTTTTAAAAATCTGTGGATTTAAATTTTATTTACTAAAAAATACTCTTCAGAGTATGGAATGAAGAATTGAAGAAACAGTTTATTTTCTGTCCACATACTCAGTGGGTGCAATTCCCTTGGCAAGCTGAGTCTTTCTTTTAAAGCAATGATTTCTAACTGTTTTAAAGCAATCAACTCTTTTTAGCCATACCAGTTTTCCTGAATAATTTCTCTACATTAGAATAAAACCAAAGCATTTCTAATATGCAGGAGAAAAGTGGAGGGAGAAGAGTGGAAAGCCAGGCCCAAAGGAGTAAACAGGAATATGTCTGTGAACCTCAGGATCTCTACCTGTGCCCTACTTTGTAGCCACAAGTAAGTCTTAAAAAGTTGGTGCTTTCCATTTATCCCTTCTGGTTTTTATTGTTATTAATCTGATTCTAAGAATAGAGACAAGCTGGTATGTGTGTCATTGAGGATAGAGTGCGACCAGGCAGCCAGGAATACAAAAGCAGGTAAAAAATTAAGAGGTGAGATGTCAGTCTTTTCACTGTAAAAATGTTAGGTATATAGCATCACAAGATTAAAAGATATGGAGCCCAATCCACCCCTGATGTCAGTTCACTTCTGCATAATGGAATTTAAGATAATTTGGCCATTTATATTTAATCTGATTTGCATAGACAGGCAGCTTGAATTAGGTGGCTGAATGGAGTGCTATTTCATGCAAATCACTTGACTAAGTATTGGTCTGGTGTAACTGAGAACAGCTGCGCTCTGGCATTTCAGTAGCACCAAATCACAGATAGGGAACATGCTCAATTATATGCATAACCACTAAAGCCAATGATGAAGCTTGTTCAGTGTTGAGGACATGTAAGAACTTCCACGTTCTGTGAAAGTTCTTAATCTCAAGGGGCCTATATGGATTGCTCTTTTCTGATTAAAAAAAAAAAATGTGTGTCAAAAGAGCAATTTTAATAACTAGAAATACTGTATGTTGCAGATTTGAGGTTTTTTCTTCTTTACTTCTGACTTGTGGAGAATCTTACGGAACATAAAGATAATCCAATGCTACTGTACTTCGGGGAAAAGAAAAAACTCACAGCACTAATGGCTAGGAAAACAAAGGTCAGTTTGGCTGTGTAAGAAACAGTCAGTTCAACTGTGGGATTTCAGAATAGATGCTTCCTGCACTCTTGATCTGATGGTAGGTCATTCAGTTTGTATTGTCCTTATTACTGTAGCTTCTCCCTTCTCATTTTGAAACTGTGCTGCAATGTGTTCTGTTGGTAGAATCCATCTATTTCAGTGTTAAAATTCTGATGTTTGCTTATCACTAATAAGCCTTGTTGAATACCTTCTTAGCCCAAGACATTTATTTTGTGTATGTGGTAATATGTTGTGGTTTTGTAGCTCAGGGCAGCGCTGGTTTGAAGTTAATAAAATCTGCATTTCTAAATGTTATGATCTACATAAATTATCTCCCAGAACAGTCTGTGGTTCAGCACTTCATAGAATGTTTTTACAACATATCCAACACGTTTCATCGGATATTTTTACTGTGTATACAATACATTTACTTTCATTATTATTGTTAAATATTCATTTTTTGTTGTTATATGCCAAGTTACATTGAACTCCTATTATCCAGTACTTTTATCAAGTCAGGATCTTTAGAAGCTGTGGTGGAAAAGCAGAAAATAATTGTTCAGGTGTTTTCATTAAACATGCTATTTTGCTGAGGAAGTAATGACCACTGGCAGAGCTATGGGTAAAGAAGGTGGGAATTTCATTAAATGTTTATAAATTCTCTCCCGTTTCTGTGTGCACAAATGGGAAGTGAGCACTCCAAAGAAACTTATAACAGCCCTTTCCTCCCTGTTCCATCCTTTCTCACTCAGCCTTCTTCCTACTGCTGTCTTAGGAGCTTATCCTTCCGCAGATGTTGGATAATATACTTTTGCTTGCCTTTATTCATTCTGTCTGCCTGCATCTCTCTTGCGTGCTTTTTAATTGTTTATTTTCCCAGAAAGAATTAAGAGTTTTATTACTTCATAAAATACCCTGTGAGCCCTCTAGTGGTACTTTCTACCTTTGCTTCAGTCTGCGGTAACATTTTTTTTTTTTTCTTTCCAGCTGTGCTTGCTTGAGTTGAGGGAGTCAGATTAACGTCCATTTCAAGTACTTTAATCTTCCCGATTATTTTTGTAGTTTATTTAAGGTGAGAAGGAATACTCGCACTCAGTGGTATAGCTGGCAGTTAGCACATCCTCGCTGGCCAGGGCTGGTTGCAGCCCCGGTGCAGGTGGGGAGGCTGCGGGCGCGGGGAGCCTCCATCCAGCTGCGTTTCCCACCGGCAGCGCGGCGCTAGGGCAGATCTCAGCGCTGACTAGGATGCGCTTTTACCAGCTGCAGACACGTTTACTCTGCTAATCCATCTTTCCAGCTGCTGGATTCGCTGCGTGCGTGTCCCGCGGCTGCGCTCCCGAGCGCCACCGGTGACGCAAAGCGGCTCCACGACACGGAGGTGCGGGGCGGGAGCGCCCGGCGTCACGGGCTGAGCGGGGCACCGGGGCGGGAGGCAGCCCGCGCTTCTTCCAGGACTGCCTACGCGGGGGGTATGGTATAAAACCTCTGTATGCCTCTTAGAAAAGCATCTGGAAGAGGGGGAGAATGGCATCGCTGTTTTGGGGCGACACCTGCCTGTGATCTTTACGCTGCCCTTCCTGGCACACTCGAGTCAAACCTTGCAAAGATTTCCCAATACTGTGTCCTTCCTCATTGGACAGGTACAGTCAAAACCAGTTCAATGCAGGCTTTGGGATTTTTTCAGCGCATTCACGGAGTATACGTGCTCTAAATGCCTACAATACAGAGGAATCCAGCTATTTCTAATGGGATGCATTTGCATAGAAGAAGAATTCCTCATTTAAGATGGGTAATAAGCAAACGATATTTACTGATGAACAGCTAGATGCCTACCAGGTAAGATCCTTTAGTTTGCATTAGGGGAAGGAAAGATGTAGTCCTCATATGTCTGTGGGTTGGCATTTTTTTTGTTGTTTTGTAGAGTGTTTTTTCCAAATTTTTTTTTCAAAATTTGTAGCCTGCATGCATATATTTCCGGCAACTGTAATAGTGTTCTAAGGCTGGGTTGCTGAATATACTGTTCAATTGCCTTCTTGCTATACAGGGGAAGGAGTCAAATCCTCAATGTCTGCACTAGGAAGCAGGATAAAGACTGACTAGCTTGACAACGGGAATATTTAGTAGAATTTTTCTACCGAGTGTTTTGTAGAGAAGAAAGTGTAGCAGTAATGTCTCTTTCTCTCCTTGATGCCTTTGCTGACAGTGGGTGGAGGGAAGGTCTTGTCTAAGTTCACTTCTTCTGAGGGTAAGTCACAGAAATATTCTTAATGTAATTCCAGAGAAGGTATCCTAACGCTTGCATCCACTCCTGGATGGCAGTTTCTTACCTTAACAGAAGTTGTATGCGTTTTTGTGTCCAGGGATAGCTTATTGGTACTTCTTTATTTACCTCACATTGCATCAACTGGATTTTTAATAGGGTAAAAAAATAATTCCCAGTTTTCAGTCATGTTTCAGCACACTGCGAATCTTAACTGCAATATATCGTGGGAAGCTGGAAGTGCGCATCGTGAACAAGTTTCTGAAAATACAGTGAGGCAATACATCGAATAGAAGGGTGCTGAGAAAGGAAGCAGCTGACTACTTGTGAGATGCAGACAGGGCTGGCTGCATTGCTCTATTCTCCTACATGAAGCGATAAAAATATACAGCATTAACAATACAGGAAATCAGTTTGTTTCCTGATAACCAAGGGACAAATCCAATGCAGACAGAAGTAAATAACTTCCTTTTTACCTCCAGGATCTTCAACTCAAACCCTTGAAGTAGAAACTATGATTTTAAAATACTGATTTTCTTTGGAGTTACTGCTAACATGGACAGTTCACGGGTGTAGATATGTAGCCACAGAGAGACAGACTAGGGATATATGCTAAAATGCTTTAAAAAGTTATTCCATGCTGGAGGGAATGCATAAATTAAATGTGTTCATCAAATGCCTGGCCTTTTTCTTGTCATTGTAGGAAATGTGAAAATGGAGCTTTTGAAATTTCCCCTTTGTCACACATCTCACCCTCACCAGCACTCTGTCACTGTAATATATTAGTCTAAGTTAGTGGTCTTAGACTTGGCAGTCTAAGATCCAAAAAGACTTTTTTACATCCCTGCTGGATAGACAAGAAGGAAATCAAAGATCTGTAAAATACCACTGTCTGTCTTCCTACTAACAATAAAAGTGAACACAGAACAGATCCCAACTGCAGTGAAACAAAACAAAATCCAAATGTAATTAATGTTATCTTCTTGACATAAACTGGCAAATGCAAGAGCTGAAATGTCATCCCTAATTCACTACTCTGCATGCAGAAATTGCCTTTCTCTAATGGCTTTTGCAGCTCCTGCCTTTTATAATGCCGGGTAATTGATCTCAAAGCCTGGCTGTAGTTAGGCCCAGTGGATTGAGTCAGCCTATGAGATTTCTCTGTTACAGGCAGACTTTTGTAGCTCATCAGTATAGTGAGAGATGATTTCTGATTAGCAATAGCACTTGTTAGATATGGTAAGTACAATACAATAACAAGTTTGCAGATGAATTCCTTATTTTGATGGTGATTTGCCTCTGATCCATTAGTTACTGCCCACCTCATGGATCTTTTAAACATAGAAATCCTGGACTTACTGTTGTAGCCATCCACACGGAGTGCTTGCCTCTCCACTGCGTTCTGGGGGAGCATGCAGTTGCTGGACTACAAACGGAGCTGTGTGGCTTGGAGTTTGCCATCTTCTCTGCCTTTTTCTCAATTGTGCAATTCCTTCAGAACAGGAAAGGGGATAAATGGGGTAACAGTTCCATAATTCTATTCCATAATGCAGGTTTTTCATGTCTTGAACCAGCACTTGGGTTGCCAGGTCCTCTGAAGAAAGAACTAAAGTAAAACACTCTGTACCAGTGTCCACGCTGTACAATCTGTTATACACATCTGTACCTCAGTGTACAGCCAGGCATCTGCAGATAAATTGCTTTTAAAATGGATCATTGAATAATCTTCTTCTTTGTGTTTGTTAGTTTATCAAACAAGAACTAGGCAACTTCTTGTGAATTTGTATGTCTATGAGTTGGTACTGTATTCTTTACACCACCCATAGTATCAGTATGGCTGAAGCAAAAGAATCATCTTAATCCTTTTTGTAGAATAGGTTCTTTTTTAGTTTTGTTATGGTTTTTTTTGTTTGTTTTTTTTTTTTTACTTCCCCACAGTTCCTATTAGAAAGCTGTTCAGAACCTTGCTCCCCTCGTGGTTAGACTTAGACTCATAATTTCTTTATTTGAATATATTTCTGGCCATTGTATTATCTGATTGTAACTTTCACTATTTTTGTCTAACGCAAATTGCTCTGAGCTTATAGCACCTAACTAATACTTCAGTAGTGAAATTTTTATAACTTTTTAAAATGCATTATGTTTTAAGTACTTGTTCCATAGGAGACACTGTGAGATGGAAAAGTGAGAAGTTCGTGTGCTTAAAGTACAGTAAAACCATATCTAAGTGGTGTTGGTTTTCAGGAGTAAAGACTAAGCTGCAGAAAAATCACCTGCTTGAAGAGCTAGCATACCTAAATTTCAGATCATTAATATGGTATTAATGCAATAAAATCACCTTATCTGATTTGTCTAAAACGTTGTGAAATGCCCATGTATAAACTTCTTTTGCATATAAACTCATACTGAAGAGTTACTTTTTAGCAGGGCATTTACATTTAAATTAAATAACTGTAAATCTGGTTACCCACAAGATGACCTCAGTGTTTTTAATAGATGGTTGTTTTAAATAACCTTCGTTGAGACTGGTAAAGACAGTTGAAGCTGTAAAAGCGATGCATAATAGGACATGATAATATCAAACCTCTCAGCTTCTTTTATTGGAAATAGAGGCAAATTAAAGACTGGGAAGCTGCAAATCCCTTAACACCTTGTCATATTACCTATTATTAAAATTATATCACCTGTTATTAAGGTAGCATTTTAATTGACAGCTCTTTGTATTTTCATAAGCTGAGTGAAATGTTTTGGAAATTAGGCTTTTGCAAGCACCATTTTTTTCATTGACATTCACCTGATTTAGAAAGTTAGCCTTGTAAGAAAATTAACTGTATTGGTGTCATGTCTTTTTTTTTTTTACATACAATGGAAAACCTTACCAAAGTCTGACTAGGCAGAAGGTAAGTATTAATCAGCAAGGGAAATGTTTTTCATTGCAATCAAAGAACATTTTAATATTTTGCTTTTAAATGTTGTTTACAGATTTTGGAGGTCAGGTGTCATCATGAGAAAAGAAAATGAACAGGAGTTTTAGGGTTTTTTGAGTGATGCTGTATAAAAATGCTTGAAGCAATAGAAAATACAGGTATACAATCAACTGACATCAGAGCTTTGTATTGCCCTCAGTGCACTGCTCGCTGAGAAACAGTTATATTGAGTAGGAAATGCATAGAAGCTGTGCTTGGTGTATGGACAAACTACTGTTTAATCAATCTCATTATCTTTTCTGGAGTTATGCAAATAAGTGGTCTGAATTTGATACAAATTTGCTTCTAATTTTTTTCCTGATAGACAGAACCTAGAGAATATAGGGCAGAAATACTTTATATCAGGTATTACTGGTTTTATTGCAAGCCATTTCTTTTTGTATTTGTTCATTAATGGAATTATGTATTCTACATTTTTTAATGCAGCCTCAAAACAAACTGATGTTTATCCTGGCTGTCTTCTAGGTAATATTGCAATAAAAGATAGTAATAAAAAAATAACGACTTGCTTCTTTTATACAAGAATTTGTGTATTACAGAGCTAACTTTTTTCCTCTTAATGAGATTCTAGTCAGTGGGATTCAACTGTATTTCATGAGAATTATGCAAAACCCGATAAAACAAGTTACATTATGATCTGTCAAGAAATGCCATTTATAAAGTGGAACTAGGTCATCAAGCTTTTACTTTTAAAAACTGTGCTTGACTTAATCAGGATCTTTGATGAAAATGAACCCTTTTTAAGAATACAAAAAGTGTATTCATTACAGGTTCTCCAGGATCTTCTGTAATATGTACTTTTCAGTTTGATAAAGTATTGCTGCTAAGGTGCAAATTTAAGTAGCATAGTAATGGAACAAGGTTTTTGTGAAATTATCCTTTAGTCAGATTCTGGTTTCACATTACCATTTGGTGTATGTATAGACTGAGCAAAATTACATTTGTTGACAGTTTGCTTCTTCCTCAGTCCTTGCTAATGACTGTTTTTACTCTGATGTTGTGGTATAAATATATAAACTGGTTCTTAGAGCTGCAGATTTTTCCTCTAGAAACTCAGTGGATGTTTTGGTGGTTTTGACTGCAGTTCTAAAACATACGTGATTACAAGTAAAGATAGGCTGGATGTTAAAATCTCCTTTGACATTCTGATGCAACCAGGATTTTTTAAAATACAAGTCCATATACCAGGGCTATTATTAATACAGATACTGACAGGATTATTTTTTTAGTGTTAAAGTGTGGATTCACTGAAGTAGTTGGACAGCTATGCAACTTAAAAGACTGGATGGAGCGAGTCTTCCTGACTTCCAGTAACTCTTTATATATTTACAGAGGTGAAAATACATAAATATTGTGCTGACTCAGTCTTGCACATCTATATACTAGTCTTAGTTGTATGGCAACTAGAATAGAAGTATGGAACTTGTAAAATATTACCAGAATAGAGTTGTTAATAGATCTTATGTGAAAGTGCATTTGCTTCTAGCCAGAACCTTTTAACTTAGGTTTTTGGTTACTTCACACGATGATGTTTTTGTGTTTAGATTAAATGTTCTTACACAACCTCTGAAATAATTTGTTTGAAATATTAACATTTTAAATGCTGCAGCATCCAGTACTTCTCATTTCTTAAAAAGCCCTTGCTAAATTAACTATATGGACCTAATCTGTCTTGCCTTGAGGATATTGACAAAATTCCTGTTATTGGTTTACTTTATCTGTAGCTTACTGGCTTTTGTTTGAGACTGTTTTTCTAATTTGGAGTGACTTTGGATTTCTAAGACTGTTTTGTATTATTTCCTTATTTATACAACTTTCCAATGGAGCTGTTCCATGATCAGACCAAACCTGCCCTTATGGCACTATACATATAAAAGGCAGAATTATGTATGTATTGTTTTAGAGGAGAAATATGCATTTAATGGGTCTAAGAAATATTATTTTACAGTAGCTTTTCATAGTTGGACGTTGCTATTTTCTCATTCTATTGTTCCTTTCTCCAGTTTTTCTTCTTTTCTGTAGAGAAGGGTTTTGCTTATCTATGTGAAATCAGTTTTTATTTGAAAACTGTACATTATGCACAGTGATACTTGCTTCCGAAAGTGGTGATAATCTTCCCTTCAGTGAACTCTGCTGCCATTCATAAATTGCATGTTGCACTCTACTATTGGCAATATATCCAAAATAACAAGTTACATGTGGTCTGAATCTGGAGCCATACCTCATATTACACTATGTACGTACACGTTACATGAAGTTAAGCATCAGCATTCTCAGCAGTTATCTCTTTTCCTATTTTTTGTTCAAATCACTGTATTGCCAAACATAAATCAGAATCAATGTAAGAGCTTGAAATCTTACAGACTAGTGGAAAAGGTACTGGACCAACATATTTCAGTCTGTTCCTGTTCTGTCCTAAACCTGCATTCACTTGACATAGGAAATCAAAGACTAAAACTCTAACAGCCTGTACGTTCTGCTCTTTTATTAAGTAAATTTTAAGAGCAGAGACCACTAACCCTACTTTACAAGCAATATTGAGTGACTTGTAGAAAGCAGTACTACCAGCCAAGAGCAAAGCTGCCCATGGAACCTAAATACACCGGCTAGCTGACTCTTCCCTCTGCAAAATATTTTAAGCAGCAGTTAAGTCACCTAAATGCCAAATCTGAGAACCAAGCCCCATTATACGAGCTAATGATTTCACTGAAATCAGTGGGAAATCTACTGTTTGCTTTATTTTATCCACTTTGCTAGACGTAAGGAAGTAGATAATTACATGTTTGTTTCAGTGCTATCTTGCCTCCAAAAAAACAGCAGTGATCCTTTGTCAGACTCCTAATTAACTTGTTTATTAAGGGCAGAAGGACAGACTGAGCGGGACAGTTGAGCTTAGAAAAGGAGCAGGTATTTTCTCAGGGGCTGGAGTAGATGAGCTTTTAAGGCAAAGCCTCTGTTGTAAATAACCTAAAACCCCCAAGGGCCCTCCTATTAGCAGAAGTTTTTCAGGTCACTGTATAGCATTAGAAAGAAAAGCAACAATTCAGGATAAATTCTTGCTGAAAATCTTGAATTGATAAGAACTTTGAAAACTCTGGTAACATTTATTTGTTCGGTGTTTAGTTTGTGCTTTTTTTAGCAGGACTCCCAGTGTCTTTAAGGTCCAGACAGAATAGACAGGTTGCTTTTTAAGTTCATAATAAGCTGACATAAAGTCCACATGATGGCAGATGTATTCCATGATATCTCTTTCTTGAAGGAAGATGAATGTCATCATAGGCATAAATGACAAATGCTTCACCTTTCCTTATGAGGGAGTTAATTTAACATGTTGTTTTACTATTTATTGTTCATCATTGCGTATTTTCTGTATGAGCGAAATAGCCAGAGGCAAATTGGATGATTCACCTCCGTATTTCTTTGGCCAAAAGTCTTTAATTAAATTGGAATTAAGCTGCTGGAGTTCCAGCAACTATAAAATGTAATTATGTTATTTATACCCTTGTTGCATTGTGACTTTATTCCAACTTGGGGCTCTGCTTTCAAAAAAAAAAAAAAAAAAAAAAGGCAGTCTTGCACCTCTTTCCTGCCATCAATAGATACTTGTTTAAGCTTCATATCTTGTACCAGCACTATTGCTGCTATATTCCAAGCCACTAAATGGAAATTAGTCTGGCTTTGCTAGGTTAGTTTCCAAACACGTAAGTTCATTCCTTTAGAATTCTCTGATGCAGTTCTAGTACTCATTGGTGTGAAGTCCACATAAAGGGAGAGGCAGAAATAAGAAACTGGGAGGAGCAAGAGAGATGGCTGGACTTCCCTTGCAGAGGTAGCTTGGAGCCCTGGCTTTTACATTTGTCATTTGAGACCAGACAGGCTTCTTAATGGTAAAGCATTTCTTAAGTGGTGCGTATGATTTTGCGGTGGATCAAAAGGGTAGGCCAGGTTACAGTAAATTTGTGGTGCTCTGACCCTGAGTAGCTTTAAGATCTCTGCAAGTGGTCTGTGAAACCAGTGTACATTTTTTTTGACACCCCTCATCCCTGACACACAATTCCATGTAATGGGCAGGTATAATTGGACTACTGCTGTGAGTAACAGTGGTCAGGCAGATACTTGCAACTACTTTTGCTATAAAGGTTTTGAACATTGGTAGTTTTTAGATTCTATTAGTTAAAAAAAAAGGCAGACTGTAGTATTTGTTGTCAAAGATGTGAGGGGACTCAGATTTAAAAAAAAGTAATTGTGTGGACCTTCAGCAGAAAAGGCTTATGATCTGACCTCTTAATGTGTCTTTCAGTAGCATTTTTGCATGATTTCTGGAAGGTGAAGGGTAACTTTTCTTTTTCATCTTTATCTCCATTTGCATATCAATTCCCTGTCAGCTTTCTAGTTCAGTAACAGTGTCTGCTGTTTTCTCAAGCCTATATAATTACAGAATGATAGCTGCTGAGGGCATTACAATTATTTGTGAGTTTGCACCTGCCTTTAATTAGTAAATGAAGCATCCTTAAGTGACAGTGTTGAATGTGCTGGAATTAATGAAGACTTAACCAGCTGGCTCCTATTTCACTTTGTGCAGTTTCAGACAATGTGACATGGGTGTCAGCAGCTCACAAGGTGCTTCCTATTGTGCCTTGTAACGCTATTCTGCTACACAATACACTAAAGGGAGAGCTGCTTCTCCTGCCACTTTATATGGAGGAGAGCAAGCAAACTCAATAATTGATACCATGCAGGACTGATAACATACCTGGATACCTGAGACAAGCTGTTTGACTGCTTCATCTAGCTGTGATCATTTGCTTTTCTCCTTGGAAGAAGCAGGCATTTAGCCAGAATGATTCTCAGTTTAGGAAAGAAATGCTTTTTCACTACTTGGCTGAAGAGCAGGACCGGGGGAGACGTATTAGTTATATGTGCTCTTAAGTATGACTTAGAGTCTGATGTTATCTTGTCACTAGCTGATATAAAAATATGATATATTTCAAATATGTTTACATTAAAGGAGGAAAATTAACGATAGGCTGAATTCTTAGGCAAATGCCTTGTTACATCACATGGGCCTGTGAGACAAGTGGATAATCAGCAAGAATTTTGTGGTTTGGTTGTTTTTCCCTGTATATACATCCTCATCAGCCACTAGCTCGAAGACAAAATGATACATATTCTCTGAATTTATGACCTAAACAATGTTCTAAACTGATCATCCAATATTTCATTGCCGCTAGTGTACCTAGTTTTGCATGCAGAACAGGATTTTCCCTAAATGTATATTAGATAAAATAGTGGGGATTAGGGGATATTCTGTCAATGGGATGGGACTGATTATTATGGTCCCTCACAGCATATGAAAATACAGCTTGTTTTCTGGCTGATTTAGAAATACGTACTATTTCCCTGCTCATCTTACGGTTCTTTCGTAACATGTGTGAATTCTTCTAGCAAAATGCAGATGTTCATAAAGAGTGAATCAAACCAGTGTAAATGCAGTCCCACCACAGAGCCATCAGAATGCAAGCGAATGCTTGTGAGCTCTTTCGCGTTCAGCCAGCTCTGTTTTGCATTCTAGTAAGTTATTTCAAATTCAGTGATACCACAGGGAATGCTGAATAGTTTGCCTGATGTTTGGAGCAGGGGCTGTCCTTTTATCCATGTTCCTATCATATGGTAATTTTCAGCCTTTGCTGAAGTGTCCACAGTGCAAAGTAACATAGTAAAAAGAGTTAATAACTAATAAGTAAGTACATGACTTTTATTATTAAATCAGTTGTCTCTAGTAGAGGAATACTCCAAGTTAGAAGATTGTTTTCTTTGTCTATTTGTTATTTATAGCTTTCTAGATCCATTTATCGAATGGTATTGGCCTATACTACAGTGTTTTGATTTACTTTTGTTTCTGGTCTGATCATTCCACAGTGGAGAAGTATTTCAGCAAGATGTTGTGGTTTTTTTCCTCTTGAAGTTTCACATTAACGATATTTGTTTTTTTTACTGATAGCACTGTCCTTAGGATAATACAGTTATTTTATAGCATATATTGCTTTCTGGGTCAAATCCAGATGGTACACAAATGGCATTTTTAATGTTTTTCTGACAGGTCTGAGTTTCCTTCCAAACTGTTGGAAAACTATTCTTTGCTGTTGTTTTCAATATTTCTGTAGTACAATAACACGTTTTGTTTTTTAACAGGATTGCACGTTCTTCACTCGGAAAGAAATCCTTCGGTAAGTAAGTTGTATTGAATTTTTCCTTTGTGATTTGTATGAAAGGAATTAAATCTTTTTTTCTGACTTGTGAAGAAACCAGATAAAACCAGATACTTTGCATGAATGAATGTGTAGGATTGGACTCAAGATACACTTATAATCTGTAAATGTGTATAGGGAAGCAGGTTATAATATTGACGTTAAGCTAATCATTGACATATTTGGGGGTAAAGCATTGAACAGGTGAGAGACAGTGACTTTTTATGGAAGGCAATAGCTGGGGTTTTGATCAGTTATACCAATGAGGGCACATCCTTCAGTCAGTACAGGTTTTTGTGTGGGCAAAACTGGTGGAACTTAAACATTCTCAGTGCTCTGCAGTTTGTTTCTGTACAAACATTCCCTACAGAAAGTCATGAAGATTGGGTTCACTGTTTACAGTAGAAGGGACTTGCTTTTTTTGGTAGTGATGGATTGAGTCATACTGAAATAACTTCTGCCTATGTATATGCTGACTTCCTGCCATGGATCCTTCCATGGATTCCTGATCTTCTAACCGTTTAGATTAAGGATCCGTAAAAGTATGGCATAATTCCTGTCCTGTCAATACACCTGTTGTTTTTCCTGAGGATTTTTATCCCATTAAGGAGTGAGAATAAATCTGTGGTATGTATCTAGATCTAGGAGCTTATAATGTTTCAGGAATCTCAACTTTGAATAACATCTGAGACATAAGAAGCCTTTGTTTTCATAAACGTTGTGGACTGCTTCAAGATGAAAAACAGACATGGTCTCTGAAAGAAATGTTCTTTGCTTTTGCTCTGCTGCTGTAAAACTCAGTAAGACTGATGTTCAGTGACTCTGTCAAGGCAGAAACTAATGTAATTGCTTCGAGTGGGATGCCCTGTTTTTTGCTGGAAAAATAGAGGTGGTATTTCAGGTCATTTCTTGCATACATTGTTCTCATTACTCATAGAGAAATGATTCACTCACTCCTCACCTGTGCTCAACATCTCTGAGACCACTGTGCTGTAAGAACATTGCAATGCCACCACCTAAGCCAGGATTTAATTTGGTGCAGGTCCCTCTTACATAATTGTTATGGTTTAAAATGTAGTCACATTGTTAGAGCACATTTTCATAATACATGATGGTATGACTGAATGAGTCAGAATGTGTGCAGTGAGTGGGTGATAGCTGGCCCAAAGATGAACTAAGCTCAATGCATGCTGGCTCCAGTAGAGACACTGGTGTCCTTAAAACGAGTAAAGACTTCACAAAAGTGAATTACCGTAGCATGGATGTAACTTCTTTAGCCAAGCATTCCTCAGCTGCGAACCGCTGGGAATGGCACATGATTGTTAGCTACAAAGAGGTGTCATTCTGTGTTTGTGGTACCCTGCAAAAAGTTATGCTGCTTAAATAGAAATGAATGGTCATTGTATGTTCTGTCAGGGCTGCAATGTTAGTTCTACTTGAGAACACTGAGTTTAGCAATAACAGAATTTGTCATCACACTGCGTTCAGAAAGGCAGCTGTGAGTCCAAAATAACAGAGATTTCATGGTTTAGACATCAGAAGTGATTTGGTGATACTCTTGTACTGTCATTAATTCCAGCAGTTGGACATGGAATAAAAGATGTCCCTGTGTAGCCACCAAATCTCAGGTACATATATAGCCAGAAAAAAAAAAAAAAATCCCTAATGGTTTAGTGTAATTTGCTGTATAAAACAGACCTTTAGCCACCTTAGTCTTTTAAAAGCCAACAAATACCATTGTTGTGTTTCACAGGGCTACCTTGATACAAAACTTTTGAAATAATCTTTTTTGGACTGGATAAACTGAAAAAATTGCTTTATGTTTCTAAAATCCCGTTTAAACTCAAAATTGCTAAAAGCTTTATAAACAGTGAATTACATTTCTACTGTGCTCCTATGAGGGAAATAGTTATGGATTAATTATTTTATATAAGTTAAGGTTCTTTTTGTCGCTTTGAATACCTGATCTAATTGGAGAATTTGGATCATTCCACTGGAAGTGATTTGTAAACTGTGATACTATGTCATCTTGCTCTTACGAGTAATTTCTTTTTCTCCTTTGGGATAATCTCTAAGGAAATATTGGAATTGGCCTGAAAGAATCATTGATTTCCACTGCAAGAAGTGTGACTGATTTTGGTACTTGTACACCTAAAATATATCTAGACAAAAATTTGTGGACAAAATAAACATGTGCAGTACAGGCACGGTTTAAATCATATGTCATAAAATGCGACCAATTTTATAGCAAGACTGTAACATTCATGGGGGAAGAATGGATTCAGAACTGTAAAATGCTAATGAAGGAAAGGAAATAAGGAATCAAACATCTCCACAGAAGTTGTAATTAGGGAACTGCTGAATCTGAATAGGCAAATGTTTGTTTTAATCTGGAAAACAACATTTCTAAACAGTAAGTTTAAACCATCATGTGCAACAGAGAAAATACAGAAAGTGTACTGTGAAAAATATACTGCAGATGTCCAGAAAAGATATTCTGAAGTAATGAAATTGGAAAATGTGATTGTATGGTAGGCAAACAGGAATTTACAGTATTGCAAAATCTGGCAATGAAATAAGAGTCAGCAAGTTCTGTTCTCTTTTTCTGGGTTGCATTGGATAAAAAAATACTTGTAGAGAATAAGTTTGCAATGTACAGCTGTAACAAGCAGATAGAAACTGGCTGAAATGGGTTATTTCTGTATGGAAACTTTCATGTGCGTTCTTCAGTTTTCCTTGATACATGAGACTAAGGTAAAACTTAGATTGAAGTTTGCTATCAGGGCACTGAAGACAATGTTTCAGAACATTCTAAAAATCACAACAATAAATGATCAGGATTTGCAAATATTTTTTATATAACAGTATTCTGGGGTTGACTTTTCATGTATGCCATATCTAAAACCTGAGACTGTATTGCAGGCAATACCTTTGGTAATGTTAAAAACAGATCACCATTTATTTCAGTAAGAGCACTCTGTCCCGCAGGACTGTTGGCAGCATAAAGGAAGATCTGAGTAGAAATGGATCTTTATTTCTTCTTCGATTTAGGCAGATTGCACAGTACTACAAATTCTACAGTGCTGGACAGAACACTACATGTATCTCTTTCAAAACTGTGTAATTTGAAACTACATTTGCAAACAGATGATTTGTAATCTTTTTTCCCTTGCATGACACAGAGTAGAGGAAGTCACTGTAATTCATAGGACTTGATGATAAAGCATGCAGCATTGAATTGTGGAAAAGATTCTCCTGCTATTCAAGAACAAGTGGATGCTTTTCTATTTAAGAAAGTTTGGCATCGGGACTATGGGTGGAATAGGGACTGGTGAGCTGGAAGCTCCTATTTACTTTCTAACTCTGTCACTAATCTATGTAAGTAACTGAGCACCTTTGAGAAATTGCCACTTTAATTTGTCATCTGCACTTAATATTTTTGTGCCTTTTAAGTATGAGGATAATATTTTCTTTGTTTTATCTGTTTAGATGACAAGCTCTGCCTGGTAAGGATAATTTGAACTATTTTTACATGCAGTGTCCTAAAAGTGATCTTAGTTGTCACTTTTACATTTTATGTTAGTGCAAAAGCTGTTCTGAATATTTTTTGAGGCTTATGCTATCTCTGAGAGGTGTTATGGTCACCTGGTAGACCTGGTCATTTAAAGAAAAGAGTTAAAGAGCAGTGAAATGTTGAATGAGGCAAATAGTATTTAAGTTAAAACAACTTTGGTAGGTTTTTATTAAGTCCTGTTTCTCTAAAAACCATAGAAATGTAAGTAAAGAATTTTGTCTTGGTTTGCTTTTCCCTCTTCAGTAACGTAAAAGGGCATGAGTGATGCCAATGATAACACCCACACTTGTTATAATTTATTGTGAAATAGAAGTGTAGCTTCTTCCAATAAGAACCATGTAATGGACCTCAGACTGAGTACTGTGAAAGCCTAATAACACATTTTGTATTTCATAACTGAAGTTGTAAGGAAACAATCTAGTTCCTAAGAAGAGAACAAAGCATGCACTTACACTCAATTACATTTTTTATGTTAGGCTAAAGAAAACTTTTCTGTTTATGGGCTGTATATGGGAGATAAGGGAACGATTGCCTGGATGACTTTGTGTACCCTATGTGAATCAAAAAGAGCAAAACCAAAAATACTGATGAGAAACAGGGCAAACTTAGGATATGATTATGACAGATATTCGTGGGGTAAGAGATTAGGTTGATGGATGATGAAAAATAGACACTATGAAAAGTCCACTATACAAAGCTGAATTAATGTTTGATTGTAAAATGCTTAGAAGAATAAAATCATGGGAGTAGTTCTGTAAAGGCCTAAAATTATGGGAGAAGGAGTAGTCACTTGGAATCATTGCATTTACTCTTCTGCCTTATTCTCACAGTGTGATATTTCTGCTTATTGGGAAACTCTGTACGTAATCCATTTATGATATGGCAGATAGTCAGTCATACAATCAGTAACATTTATTTACTGTATTTAAACTGTTGAATACAGGTTGCTGTCTAAGGAATAGAGTAGAATCAAGAGGTATTTCTGCAAGTCTGAGGTGAAGTTTTACTGAGTGGGAATAAAACGGGTTATGATGCCCCCATTAATTAGCACTTAATGATTTAGCACGTCCCCACCTCACTTAAGAGGGAAATAAGGACTGTGGTGCATTTGTTCATGTACTGCAGAAGACTCTCAGATGTGCTATGAAGGAAGTGCACGTCTAGTTCTGTTTAGGCTGAATTGAATATCTTGGGCAGCTGTGAAGTTCAGTGAGACAATCCAGCAAGGAGTAACCTGCAAACCCCCCCCACATCCCCCTCCCCCCCCCCCCCCCCCCCCCCCCCCAAAAAAAAAAAGTGAATAGCTTTTTGGCTGAAGTCAGCCACCTTGGCTGGCTCACCATCCATTTGCATGAGTGTTAGTGAGGACACAAGGGAAGGGGCACAGCTTTGTAGGTGGGGATGA